CTGCGGGGGTGCGCGGGCACACGGCTGTGCGCTGCACTCCGTGGGGCTGTGGGTGATCTTTGAGCCGTACACAGTGTTGTAGTTTTCTTAGTTTTCCTCCTCACAGGAGTCGAGGAGAAACAGGTACGGTGGAAGTTAAAAGCTGTAAGTGCTCTCCCGCAGCTCCTCAGTATACCACAGCTCTGACAAGAGACAAAAATTTGCATTTAGCACCATCTGCTTGTGCTGCACTGAAACTGATTGCATCCTCACTGGTTGCAAAAGGATGTACTACAGGGCTAACTAACGTAGTGGAATACATATTTGTGTATTTTCATCTCTCTTGTGGTTTTTGTAGCCAGGTTGATCTTGGAATCCGTTTCAGTCTGTTTGAAGCTGCAAGATTTATTCCCTTCCACAAAAAGGGGGAAGAGTATAGTGCCTTCTCACCTGTGGTGAGTTGGCAGCTTGCTCCCAAGTTCCGCTTTACAAACGCCGGACAGAATGCTGTAGTTTATCCGCACTTGTTTTGTAAACACTGCAAACTTTCTCTAGATGTTTGTTTTTTGTGTGTCAAGTTTCTGTATATTTCCCGTGATATCAAAAGCTCCACTCTTTCAGAGAGGGATCACTTGGCGAAAGTAGCAAACCTACAAAACAATAAGGTATTACTGAGCGTAATTTTTACACAAACAATGAATTCAATAGGTATGGTTTTAACTGTTGTGAAATTTAACTGATTCAATTTAATTTAAGGACATGACACTAATGTATCTTTACTGGCTGAAAGTCTTGCCCAGTGTGTCTAAACAAGGCTTGACATGAAGAGGTGTTACACTGCTGCTACCTTTAATATAAGCTCTATATCTGTGATACCTGTGCATATTCTGGAAATTTGTTTTTAAGACTCGTCAACAATACGGACTTTAAACTTAGCTGGGATAGGGTTACTTTGGTTTAGGACTTTTAAAGGTCTTTGTGATGAGTTAGGTGTGCACACAGTCACTTACCGAAGCCCGGTGGGCACGCGTTTGTTTGTCAAGCTATGGTGATTCGGTTCTGCATCTCACGTCAGGCAGGAGTAACTCAGGGTCTTGTGTAATTTAGTGTATGAATGGATATCTTTAGACATGGTTTATGTGCACATCACTTTGCTTATTTGTAGTGCAGAGAACCTTATGATAGAGTATATAAATTCTGTTGTAGTTATTTAAGTGAATAAATCTCTGAATTAAAAGAGGAGATGCAATAATGATCACCCATATTAAATAAATAGTCTGCTAGTCAAGGCCTTTAGTTACACTTACCTGTCCAAAGCTGCAATTGCTCATGTAGAAATCCAGACTTTATTTACCTTACAGCTTGCGAATCAATATTATTAGACAAGAGTTTTAGAAAGGTGCTTTTGTCATTTGAAAACTTTCTCATATAATTTCTACTAGTCTGTGATTAAATTCTTCTTTCTTCCTTGTTGTTGCCAAGGTTCACCGTCTTTTTGAGATGTTTTCTATTGAGATGTTATTCTTTAATGACTTTTGGGTTTACTTTCTCCTCATTGCAAGCAACAAAACTTAGATTAGAAGTCAAACGTTTATTTGAATTTTTATAGACTCCTGTGCTCTCTGGTTAGTTACTTTTCCTTCAGAACTGTGGCAATATGGAAGCCTGATAACTTCAGACAACAGTTTTGACCTTTTTTAAACAAGGGATTGAAGTGTTTCTTTTTTTGTGGAAGACAATCCATTTTCTGAACCATATTTAGGAAAAGAATAGTTAAAACATGTTTGCTCTATGGAAAAAAAAATTCTGGATTACATCAGAAAAATTATGAGGCATTTTTAAAAAATCTTAAACTTTTCTTTC